ATGCAAAATGCGTCTTAATTGAAAAATAAAATGTTTGTTTCAAAATAGAATATATGACAATATTTAAATATAATATATCCTAGACTGACAAATCATCTCCGTTCAGAATCGTTTTTCGTATACAATGATACCTGTCATTGCATTCAAATTTAATCCCATCCATTACAGTAACCTACAGTACAGCAGAGCGACATMCACGACTTACCCGCTTTTTATTTTTATTAATATTATATTACTTATTCTAATTTTTGAATATTAGCAATGATATTCAAACATTTTGTCAAATTWTTATCAACTTCATACTCAGCTAATGTCTTTTTGATTCGTTGGTCTAATTGTATATAAGTTTTTTTTCTTCTTTTCCCTTCCATATTTAAGTAACTGCGTTCATATAATAAATCAGAATTTTCAGCCTCTTTTTTTAGACAGTGATACAAATCATTAAAAGTTGGTTGTGGCTTATTTAATATTTTATTTTAYTTACTGTTCCACCCTTCAACAATGTTATTTGTTCCATGGCTTCTTTGATAACAATTCCATACACTTCTTGAAATAATTGGGTTTTCCAGCCACTGTTCAATAAAATATTCATAAAATATTTTAAGCTTATCATTATCAGGTGTATTGGTCATAATAATAATCCAACCTTMGTCAATGTCATCAATTGGAATATGAGCTAAGGCAGAACACATTCTAACGTGTAATCTAATATCTGCATCATCTTTATAATTATTCGCTAAACCTATACATATACAATGGTTACATATATTTATTTACATTTTTTTTTTTTTAATTTTAAATTACCAATTTATACCTACATATGTACTTTAATTAGAAATAAATACATAATTATACGTTTTTTAATTTTTTCGTTTAGTGTTATCAATCGGATTATGTTATCAGTTATGTCCCGTACCAAAGTGATTACATTAAGCGGCGACCACTGTATTTTGAACTTTTCTCCAAAGCGATTGATTAAAATGAAAGTTGCAACCATATRTTTCAGCATWAGAGAATATTTTTTTTATTGATTGAATAGTCGAAATTTCAAAATCCAATGTAAATGATTCAGGATTAAAGTTTGGAATGTGTGCTTTTATCATCGAAAATAAACGCTCATAAACAATTTTTGTTTTATCAGAAAGTAAAATATATATTACAAGAATTACATTTAATTCGTCGTTTGTAGACCCAAAATCAATATGAACAGTATAAACTTGATAAAATTGTTTGCTAGAGCTTTTAAAAGTGCCATCGACAAAACAAGTTTTTCCTTCAGAAGCAATTTGTCTACCTTTACTTGAACATAAATCTATAATTCTATCTTCTTTTCCGTCATCAAACAATWCAAATTCAGAATCACTAGGTATAGTAATATCTTCCCTTAATTTAGGATCCAATGAATTGTCAAGCGATTTCCTACGTATACGATTTAATGTCGTTTTCACAGACAAGTAAACTGGAATTTCGGTCACTAAATCTAATCCTTGATCTATTAATGGTGTAAACTCTTCACGAAAAATTTGAGCAGCAGAATTTGATGAATCACGTACGCTTTTTTTTGCAATATTATATTTTTTTTTACTTAAATTTTTGCCGAGTCATATTTACATTGATGAATAGTAACATTTAAAATTGTATTACCAGTTGTTTTTAATCTTCCTGTGCATTTCTCTATTTTTTTTTTCATTCAAACATACCCAGGTTGTTACATTTTCGTTATTGGTTTGATACTTCCTATATTGGTAACCATAGTATACTGCTAAAGCTTTCCCTTTAGTAGTTTCCAAAATTTCTAAAGAGTCGTTCATTTTAATAACACTATGATATACCGACTACGAACTCTACAAATGTGTATACTATACTAAAGACTGAGTAAATGTTATCAATAGCATGTAACTATATAATTGACATAATACAATTTTAATTTAATACTTCCAAAGTTCTAACAMTTTATCTATAATAATACCCATAAACAACCAAATAGCAAAAAATCGATAAACACMATAATAATACGATTTTAAACATATTTTTACTATAAATATATTATTATATACTATGTAGAATCAATTTAATATATAATTATTTAGTACCTAATATAATATATATGTATATACTACCTTATATTAGATAATCAGGTAGATAGAAATAATTTGACCGCAAACGGTACGAAAAAGGTGCCGACCGCAAATGTCCCGACCACATCGGTGCCGACACCGAAAAAAATTATCTGTTAAGCATCAAATATCACACAAATCATTGAATACCAAAAATATTACTTAACCAATTTTTTAATCTTATTTATTTATGAAAGTAGATATTTTCGTTTAAAATAATTATTCGACAACAATAACAAAAAACTCAACACAATATTTTTTTTATAAGACTACGCCCATAGACCAAATGGCATAATATATATTTTAAATAGTTATAGGTAACTGAATTATTCTTTTTTTTTGTACTAGATCATGAAAGTCTYTTTTTATGAATATAATACTAGGTGCCTATGATATAATGGGCGATTGTAAACTCTCCCGATGGTACTCTTCTCG